CAAAGCAATAGCAAATAATTTGATTGATGTTATAGCATTAGCAGAAAAACAACAAGATTTTAGGTCGGGACAACCATGCACAAACGCTAAATTTATAAAGAGACAGGAGCAACGGAAATCATTAGAATGCAATAAATCGGCATATATGTGTTTCGTGGACCTTAAGAAGGCATTTTATCAGGTCAAATTAAAGGACGTCATCTACTTATTGTATGTTGGAGATATATATCTGCGAATAATCAAAACAATCAAAAATATCTACCAATATAACACAATAAAAGTAAAAGTAGAAGAAGAACTAACGGACCATATTAAAACTGAAAATAGGGAGATTCCCTGAGTTCAATGTGGTTTAACCTGATTATGGATAAAATAATAAAAAAAGTAAGAACTAAAAATGTATAAAAAATGGGAGAAAAACAGCCAAACAAGATCTGCTATGTAGACCACGCAATAGTACTCTCTCAGAGTAAAGATGATTTACAACGTATACTCTACCATACGTTTATTATAACCGCCAGAAAATTTAACATGTTAATTTCCCCAAAAAGGACAAAATACATGGTTATAACATCAAATTTATTAAGATGTAAACTGGAGCTGAAAAGTCAGATAATAGAACAAGTGATAGAGTTTAAATATCTAGGCATCACAGTATTTAGCTATTGAAAACTCAAAAAGACGTGGAAGATCAAATGAATGAGCAAGCAGAGCTGCAGGTTGCCTAGATGAAAAAATATGGAGAAATAAAATAACGGGAAAGAAATAAAAGGTAGAATTTACAAAACAGTCATCAGACCAATAATAACATACGCAGCAGGACAACACAACCTGACAGCAGAATCACGGCCTGACACAAACAGGACAAAAACGATATTAGAAACAGCAGAGGTGAAAACAATTTAATGAGATCTTTAAAAATTTACAGTAAAATACTATGCGACAGAGCTAGAAGTACAATTATACGAGATAGATGCAAGGTGGGGAACATTAAGGATTGGGTAAGAAGTTTTTACAATAAAATCTAAATTTTTGAAGTTATTCTCGAAAAACAGTAGTTAAATTTACTAGGCAAGTGGCTAACACTAACTACTCCCGAGTTGGGGTGGAACATAAGTGAAGACCACACGGAAGAAAGGCGAAATGTCACAAAGAGGTTAATTCGAAAAAATTGAATTTTTAACTTTCAAACCCTAAACACCATCATACAATTAAATATTTTGCGTACTTCTTTATTTAAGTAGTCTTCCTAGTTATTTTGTAACGTATTATTTAATCAACGGAATTTAAAATAAAACACAAAACTTAGAAACATTGCTTTATGTAAACACAAGTCACTACAAATACGGGAAAAAAGCAGAATATATGACAACAATTTTTTTTCTGTTCCTATATATAATGTAAGGTAAGCCGCTATAGAACAATATAGCCCTTTCAGATGTGCAAAACTGACTCAAGCGGACCAGATCGTTAAATTTTTCCTTAGATATTTTCCTTAGCTCTAAAAAACATCTCTACGAAAAAAGAGAAAAGGAAGGGAATTTTAAAACAAACTCACCAGTATATAATTTTGGTGGCAAAATAAACTGGCTCTCGGGTAGTTGCACCTCATCGGAATTTGTAAGTGGTTTGCGTATAATTGACGTCTCTCATTGTCTATTATAGGAATCTCGGTGTTTAAAAAGGCGTGGATGATCTTTCAATATTTCAAGTTCTCTGATTGGTCTTGATTTAAATGTTGGTTTAGTTACGTAAATTTGGTCCAAGAATAGTAACCAGTTTGTTATAAATAATTCATCGACCTCTACGACATCGAACAGATTTGGGTTTACTCGACATGCTCTAATTTCCGTGTACCAATCCTCAGGAAGTTCAGCCATAATTTTTTGGTTTATTACACCCATATCTCGATCACACTCCATGTAAGAATGACCTAGTATTGGGAAGGTTACTTTGATTGAGTCCAACCTTTTTGCAGTATTAACTACAAAGTGAAGATAACGGAAAACAGTGAAGTGTTTATTTTGGCCGCCACATGAATCACAGAATATGTGGAGCTGACGAACTGACAGATAAAGTTGAACAAAGATAAAGTGGTGCAGAAATGACACTACTTTGTTTGAACCTTTGCCTCCTATTGTTTCTGGAAAACAATACAATGTATCAGTTCCTGTTGACAATACATGAATGTTAAAGGAGTAAAGCGTCAGTTGTCTCTTATAGTACACGTCGTTGGTCGGAATATTTAGAGTGGATAAACATTTTTCAAAATCCATAGCGACTGCTTTACAGTTAACATTCTGCATTGCTGCTTTTCTTGCCTTTCTCTTTATTTCATAAAATGCATCCGCTTTGGATTTGTGTAGGCTATTTGCCAAAGTTATTCGTTTTATCTCAACTTCTATCTTTTGCTTCATTTAGTTTATTGTGAAGGACCTTAAAGTTAGCCAAGAAATGATCGCAAGCACTACACATATCACTCCGCGGATAGCCGAAGCTAATGTTAAAATGCTTATTAAAGATTTGTCGATACGTTTCGTAAGACACAGGAGCTCCCTTATCAGATTTGTACATAGTGTACATTTTCTTATTTCTATTTTTAATATAATGGCTTTTTCTTCCTTTAAAACACTTTATGTGTTCAATAACTTCATCTAGCTGTTGTTTTGTTAATGCGTGTTTTTTTGAGTTTTTTCCGCGTTTGTCAATTGGTGCACTACCAATAACTTTTAGGCTTAGAAAAGGCTTAGAAAAGCTTTAAAACAAAGGTCTAAAAGAATACGTTGCATCATGCAATCTTGTAGCTTAATCTCGAGCTCTTCTTTGCTTTACGGGCATTAACGTTATTAGGCCTGCCAAGTAAATATTTTGTTTATCACGCCCCATACAAACAAAACAATTCAGTCTTTTACATTGACAATCGTTACTTGTTTTATGGCTCTGTTGTCTTAACCGCTTCATTACTTCATTTATTCGACCTGTAACTTCGACCTGTGTTTTAAGCTATGAGGATTCGTCTTTTTTCCATATTTGAATGACTCACATAAAACTACTAGTAAAAACCTACATATTGCTGCAAAAAATAATAAAAAATTGACATTTCGCCTTTCTTCCGTGTGGTCTTCAAGTGCTTTCCCGGAGAAAAATACATATTTTCATAGGGTAGATTTTTTAACTATTTTCTACCTACAGTCAAAAAGTCAAGCAAATCAGTGAATTTAAAAAAATTCAGTCGCACGCACTCTATTAGATAATTTTTACCTAATTAATAACGTTAATAAAATTTAAGCCATTTTTCGTGAAAATTTTTGACACATATAATTTTCATGTCAGCCAATTCTTCTGAAAGAAATCCCTTGGGTTTTACATTGTACTCAACGGACCTCTTTCATGTTCTAACATTGTTTTAATAATGTTATGTTTACAGCATGACAACTCCGTGTCAGAATTAAGTAGGTTAGTGGCACGCCACATAAACGATCAAAATCATTAAGCGAGCCCGTAATGCAAGGGTCAATAATTTTCCGTTCGGTACTCTATCTACATTCGTGATTGCGTGTTAACCCAACTTGGAAAATTTCATTATTTCTTTGGTAACAACATTAGCTGTGAGTCTAAGGTGTAATTCATGAGTTATAATGTATAGAGTGGTGCTGCTATTGCTGGTGGTAGTAATTAACACCTTGATTGGACAGATCTAAGGGTTGAATTGGTTTGTTATTTAAAACTCGAAGATTTATAGTAGTGTCGTGACTTTGTTTTTTTCCGATTTTATAAAAAAATATTTTTCAATTACCAGATTATTTGCAGTATTTATTTATTTTATATCGACGACGTTTTTTAAAAAATGCCAATGAGAATTGGCGAGACAATTATCAGAAGACAACTGACTGGCATGAAATTATTGTCTTCGTCTAAACACTTCAGGGCAATTGCCTTGTCAACTGTCCTCACAATTGGCTCAAAATTCAGTTGTTTTTGGGAGTAGACTGAGGAGAATGAGCTCTGCGCCCAGTGAACCCCGCCCCCCCACCACTCGTAATCTCAATTGTCGAGATAATTGGCGCCGTGTAAACGGTGTAGGCTAGTAGTGCTGTCTTCTTTTTTGCTAATTTCCTCTAGTTCTCTTGTGTCAGTCAAAACATACACGTCGTTTGTGTTATTTGTGTTACGTTTGGTTATTCTTTAGTAAAATGGCACCAAAGTAGAGTAACGAAATAAATTTAAAATTCGTTGAACTTTACAAAGAACACAAGTGTTTGTGGGACCAGCAAGACGACTTATACAAGGATAGAAATGCTCGCAAAACGGCACTCGTTGCAATTATTGCTGAAAGCATAAACAAAGGATTTGGTTTGGCTGAGGGGAAAGCAAATATCAAGTTTTTTCGCGGTACGTTTAATTTGAGATGAGTAAACTGAAAAAAGTGCCAAATCTGGATCTAGATCAGCGGTTGTGTACGTGACGACTCTTAAGTGGTTTAACGTAATAAAGGAAGTGTTAATATTCCATTGGATCTTCCATCCGCAGTTCCCTTATTAATTAAGATGATGCGCCGTGACTGTTTCTTCTTAAAAGCCACTTTCTTGTCCATTCTTTCTTCTTATTTAACTCTTTTAGTAGCACATTGAAAGACGCATTGATTAACTCCCCGTAAAGCTGATTTTACATTAGTTTTATATTCTCACCGGACACAACAGATGACGAGCAGTCGGCCATGTTTTAGCTGTCTACTGCTATGGCAATAGTTGGCCCCGTATAAACATCTTGTTTAACTGGATTGGCCTCTGATAATCCGCAACCAGGTGATGGCAATTGTCCAATGACAATTGTCTCGTCAATTGTCATCGTGTAAACGTGGCTTTATAGTTGTAGTCTATTAATAAGTTTACTGGGTGAGAGTGGCACCGGGGTTGGAAATACGAAGAAGAGGTCCATGTTCAGCAGTGAACTTCTGAGGCTAGATGATGAATAATTTTACTCTATTTTACTTTGTTTACCTTTGTAGGTCCCTTCTAATTGCTTCCATATTTCTTTGTTCTGCGTCAAGTTGAATTGTTGATCTGCTATCGCTTCTATATCGTCTACCCATTCATTTCTTAAGATCTTTCCATTCATATTTATTTACACCTCTCTTGGTCTCGACTCAAACTGGGTAGTTGGATAATTTTGCTATTACTTATTACTTAAGAATCTGATAGACAAGGGACTAGCAAGAAAATGGAACCTTGTAGCACTTTTAAAATCGACCCCATTGTTTTGCAGAAAATATGGATCGCAATAAAGGAAACAGGCACAAGTTATTTTTGATGCACGCCGTAAAAGCGTTATAAACATATGGTCGGTAAGCTCAGTAACCAAACTTCTCAGGTCTTTTGTCAATCAAAACGTGTAAAATGAAATGGATAGGTAGATAGATAAATAGATAGATATTTATTGTTTTTAAAAACTACAAACAAATAAAAGTAACAAATGTAATAAAAAGAGTAGTGCTATCAGTAAATAAAATGAATAGCCAATCTAGTAAACCTTAACTAAATAAATGAAAATCTGAAAGTTATTCATTCAAAACAAATATTTTAGTTTTAGGATGTTTTAAACATATATTAAAATTGCTTTTATAGAGGTTATCGTGACTTCAATGAGACAACCAATAAAATCGGTACAACTGATAAGGGGGCCACTTTAACTGGCTTCATTGAACTGTTAATGGGACATTTAAATAGTAAATTTTTAAGGGTTTCCTACCTGTTTGTGTTGCAAGTAGTACAGATTTCAGATGGTCGAATATGATAAGTTATACTATTATAGGTCAGTTTTAAAACTTAGCGATTAGATGTTCTAAGTTGCGCTATGGTGTGAATGTATTTTATCGGAATTTGAAATTCTAGATATTGCTGTACTATAGTACCTAGAGATAAATGTTAGTAAATAGGTGTTAATGTTGATACAGAAAATGTTTGAATGTCTTCCTGATTAAGCATATCCTTATATTTTTGTAACATGTTTTTCTTGTATTTTAACAGCCAATTAGAAATGTTTCCCTCCCAAGAAAATTCATAGTCTAATATTTGAAAATATTACTTAATCTCTGAGACCCAGTTGTATCTGTTATTATTTACTGAGTTATTTACAAAAGTAATTTAAAGTTCACATAAAAAACAAATCGTAAATCATGCATTCTCAATAGTTTAATGAGCTATTTTAAAGTAAGGTTAAAAATAGTGAAAGAAATTTTTACTGTTCCTGTTTACAACCTAACAGCAGCATAAGGTGTATTGATACTAAGGTGTAAAAGTTTTTTAAATAAATTATTTGTATTCTTGTAACTGATCAGCGTATATCATTTCCCTAACCGGCACACAGTTCATAAAAAGGGTTTGAACTAATGAATCGAAAAGTTGCACACGCGATGTAAAAGAATTCATTTTGGTTTTAGTCATGAAACCTAATACATTGTCAATTTTATTTTTTGCTCTCTCCATTGTTGTATCGGCCATTTCTGTTGTGATTAAGGTGACTCCTTGGTATACAAATTTTTAGATAACTTTAATTGTTTTCTTCTTGTATAGAAATTTAATACCCCTACTGCCGATTTGACCGCTTTGGAAACTTAATTTTTACCGAACTTAACTTTTAAGTCAGAAATAATGACCAAATCATCAGCGTGCAGTATCATTGTTATTTAATTTTTCCTATCCATGAAAATAATTTTTGACCCCGACTGATAAAAAATTGATCTATATCTGCAATAAATAAATAAAATAATATTGAACTTACAGGTTCTCTTTGTACGACACCTATTATAAAATCAAATGGTCTTGTGCAGCCGTTTGTAGTTTTGATGTACATTCTAGCATTATTACTATTTTTTTTCAAAATATCTATTAGTTTAGAACTTACCCTAAAGCCAAATAGCATTTTTCACACCAAATAGATAATGGAATCTAAAACCCGTTTGTAATCTACAAATTCAGTATATACTTTGAAATTTTTCAGTCGTTGTTGCCGTTGCACAGCAGAAGTAAGGGTGAGTACATTATCAATGCAACCCCGTGATTCCCTCAACTCTGACTGGCACTCAGGAAAAACATTGTTTTCAACAACCCAATCTCTGAGTCTATTAGTGTAGTAAACAAAATATTAGTGAATATTTTCTCAACACAGTTAAGAAGGCACACCTCTATAGTTTGCTAGATCATCTCTTTTACCCTTTTAAAACATCAAGGTAATTGGTGGAGAGGGTAAATCTATTACCAAACTTTCCACATTTAAGAGAGGTGCAGTGTTGAACACCCAATTGCTTCATTTTCATATTTATCAAGGACCACTGAAGCAATAAAACACTAAGACGTATTTTTCTTTCGATTTATTTGTAATGACCTTATAGGGCTGATTCAACATTGAAATTATCGTATTCTGATTAAACTAAAAAGAGTTGTGCAAATATCATTAGCTTTAAGTGCTAGGAGGCAGTAACAAAGATACATCGAGATACAGAGAGAAACAAAACGGTTTAGGGTTTAACACAAAACAACGGTTCTACAAGCGCATTTTTCACTTACGCATCACGCACTTTTGGGAATGTCTCGCACTGTCGTTGTCCTAAGCTAAGTCCTATAATGGGGGTGAGGAGAGATTATTATGACAGAGAGAGTCGAAACCACATTAACACGAGGTCTGACGAACTGAGAGCAGAAGTTGATGAAATAACTAAATACAATTATAATATTAAATAAGTTGTTTTTACAACAGTAATAATGACATCACTTTAGTTATGCGGGTTAATGGTTATTTCCAATATTCTATTAAACAAGCCCGTTAAATCGATCAGATCCTATTATTTGGAAAATTTTTTAAAAATTCATAAGAAATATATTCAGTTCCTGCCGATTTACGATCAAGACAGTTATTCAAAACTCTCTATATTTCATCACTGGTTATAATAGCGTCAAAAATGGAATGTATTACATCAAAAGGATAGTCATTATGTGATAGTTATGTAGGATATACATTTTAATAAAATTGTTCGTATACGTCAGCATTAAGAGAAGAAATATTGTAATTTTTCTAAAATTTCCTAATCATTGACCAAAATGTTTTTAAGTCAATATTTTTTGCAAGTTGAGAATATATGTAAGTTATAAAAGTATTATGTTATTGTTTTTTTGTGTCAGAAAATTTGTTGAGTAAGAGTCGAACAAGTTATTTACTCTAGCAATTTGAAGACTTTGTTTTATATTATTTTTAGCTAAGATACATTCATGATCAAACCACGTGGGTCTTTGCCTGACACTACAAAAAAGACTTTTCTAGTCTTAGTTCTAGCAGTTTTATAGAAGAAGTTAAGATCAGTATTCCATTGATACATGGGTTTTTATATATCGAACCTGTTTTTTTTTAATTTAAGACTTTCTCGAATAAAGTCTAAAACACAAGTTACCAGTATACTTAAGTGGTCAAAAAGGCTGGTATTGTTCATTAGACATTAATCTTAAATAATAGGTATTGTACTATTCTGAATAAAAGCTAAGTCAATTACACTATTTTGAGCTTTGCTAATGTAAGCAAATTGTGCCGGGGTAGCAGACTTAGTCCTCCCATTTATTAAACAGAAAGTATTACTCTTCATAATGTCCATAATATGGCGCCTCTTTGTATTGATGAGTATAACTATGTCATTACTTGAAAGATACTTCGATATATTTGTGCCCTCCAGCATCTCTGGAGGAACTTCTCCGCTATCTGATAGTCAACGGTTAAATTCTCTGCTGATTAGAAGAGGAACATCAAAATGGTTTTCTAGAATTTTCGACAGAGGTACTTCATACATATATTCACAGTGTCTAAGTAACATTTAAATAAGACTTTACAAATAATAATAAACTTTTCATAAGAGAAAACCAGTTTGCAGAATAGACACCACGGTCTTTTTCCTGAAATTACACAGTTGTATACCTTTTTATAGAATACGGACCTTTTTATAGAATTGTCCACGGACTTCTCCTTCAAAACAAGAATACTTCTTATAACATTACAGGATTACGAAACAATTGACGAATTGTTACACTTATTAAGTAGCCAAGTTTCAGTAAGAAATAACACCGAAAAAACCAATATAATATTTAATCATTATATTGCTTAAACTTAACGATGTTAACTCTTCGACTGCTAGAACTAAAGTAGAAAACGTGTAAAATAGTACTCCTGTGTCTTCCCTATCTTATAAGAAGGTTGTGAATGGCCACTCTGCGCCAGCCTCCAGCGCTCCTAAACTAACCATCAGGGGTAATGGTGAAAGTCTTAAAAATATGATGGATGGACGGCTGAATTTTGATTATCTCCACAGCCATGTTTCTCGAGATGCAGGCATCGATAGAAAAATTCAGTTTTGATTGAGTTGTGCTATTTTTAGACAGGTAAAGCTTTTGTTCGCCTTATAATATCAACATCCAAAAAAAGCTTTAAGTTTACCGCATCATAGTTGTTCCTAGACTTACTTATGGCTGTGCCTACCTACAAAAGACACTTAATGTCTTTGGAAAAATATCACCAACGTTCTCGTCGAAGAATTCTGACAGCGACCTGAAAGAGTCGAAAAATCAATATCACCAACTAAGAAGCAGCGAACTTAACAAGTACTGAACAAATGATTGTGTAACACTAACTTTGGTGAACTGAACACGTGGTCCACATCCCGATACGAGCCTCCCAAAAACAAATACTGTTTTCACAAATTGATATAGAACGATATATAGCATTTCTCACGATATGCCAATGGAAGCGATAGAGAGACAAACTTAAAACAACTTAAATAAAGGTGACATCGACTTTAGTACCTGGGAAGACGCAGCGGGACACCCAATGCAGGAACACACCCAACAGTATAACGAAGCGCAACAGTGCATGAAGGTGCAATAACCTTTAAACATCAGCAACGAAATCAGGAGTCTGGTAAAAGAAAGCTAAGGAAAGAACGAGGAATTAAACAACTAAATAATTTCCAGTAGCTGGCTGCTAACACAGACTGGATATACCACGATTGTGGTTGAATCTTCGGTTCCAGAATCAGCATATTTAGTCGATGTAGAACTCAGAACTAACTATTGGTAATATAA